CTTTCTTTCTTTCTTTCTTTCTTTCTTTCTTTCTTTCTTTCTTTCTTTCTTTCTTTCTTTCTTTCTTTCTTTCTTTCTTTCTTTCTATGTGTTCGGCCCGGTTCTTCTGAGCTTGTCAGCGGCTGGACCCTTCTCGTCTGCCCGCGTCTGGTGCTGCTCTTCTGGGTTGATGAAAAATCAGAGAGCCTCCTCCTGGAAACTTGTCGACGGTTAAAAAATCTCTTCAGCTAACACATGAATGAAAAAGATGACGATAATCTTCAGCTTCTGGACAATTTTATTGCGAGACAGATGGGAACAGGTCCGAACAGCGAGATGGTAAAATGGACTCTAAACAAAGGGCGCGCACCCGCTCCTACGCGCGTTCACATTTCTTAAAGGCACAGTACACCACACTTTCTTTCTTTCTTTCTTTCTTTCTTTCTTTCTTTCTTTCTTTCTTTCTTTCTTTCTTTCTTTCTTTCTTTCTTTCTTTCTTTCTTTCTTTCACTTCGTAGTGATCAGTTTTAATCAGTTTTTAGAGGTTCAGGTTTCACTCAGTAGGTGGCGGTACCTGCAAAATTGTTTGTTTTCTGCCATTACAAAGAAGAAGAATTGTATCGCGGGCTTTGTTATGATTGGATTGGCTGAGGTGGTGTGATCATGACCCAACCAATCAACTGCACTCTTACCGAGCCACACGATCAAACTTGCTAAGTATTTTCTGCATTGATTTCTCTTGGAGCACATGCTCCACTTATTTCACAGCCACCCACTCAGAAATCGAAGGTAAGTCCTGTTCTGTTTTGTTACTTGTATTTGTTAGCTTTTTTAAACATCTTTGTGTGCTTATTTCTTGTTCATTAAATGTTTTAGTCTATTTTTTTTCTCAAACGCAGACGGAATCATGAAAGGTGMTGCTGCAGCAACAGAGGATTTTATAAGAACGCATGCAGCAGAGCATCTGAAACATGCTCCACAAAGAAGTGGAGGTGGAGGACATGGATTTGACATGGACTGAGAAATTTGTATAAATATTTTTTGTTAATATATTAGCTGCACTTTTTTTTACATTTTGGTAGCATTACATTTTTTGGGTTTAATTCTACTGTGAGGTCTGTGACTGTTTTAAAAATTGTTTATGTACTTTGTGCATATA